GAGGAGTGGCTGGTGGGTTTGAACCGCCAGCCTTCTGGTGAGCAGTCAAGTGCTTTAGGCACTATGCTACCAGAGCTCTAAAAAAAAAAAAAAAAGTCTGCCTTGAACATTATGATCTTTTAAGAACTATCTATATAGGATCAAAGTGACAAAAGCATCTCGAAAGATTAGATAGGAACCTTAAGGGACAGTTAATTTATGTTAATGAGGGAGGAACAACTCAGAAAATGAGGGTGAGAATATTTACGTAATTTGAAGAATGCAATCAACGTCACTAAATGGTACGTGTTGAAACTGTTGAATTGGTGTATGGTTTTGCTATATATATTCTCAACAACAACAAAATAAATAGATAAAATTATTTTTTAAAAAAAGTAGCAAAAAAAGGTTATGCAATTTACTGGCTTGGAAAGATTTAGGGGGTGTTGGTAATAAAATAAGATTAGAAATTATACTGATACCATAAAAAAGACCTTGTATTTTATGCTGAGACAATTAGTGTTATGGGGTTCTCAGGTCCAGAGGATCAGCATAAAAGCAACAGGTAGGTATATTCATTTGAGATACATTAATTAAGAAAGAGGGCAAAGCATCATCAAAGGGAAGTGTCTGGCTCGAGTTAGAGAGTTGGCAGTTATAATGATTGGAAAAAGACTGAAATGATAGCAGTGGGCCAATAATACAGTGAAGTAATGATAAATAAAGAGGAAGGTAAGATACAGAGATTGACAAAAATGGGTAAGTCAGGAAGTGAATTATGTTTTGAAGAAGAACAGAAGAGTTTAATTTCTTATATACATTAATTATGAGATAATGTTTATTATGCTTTTTTCCCCATATATATTAAAGGACCTCATCTCCACCATTACCACCACAATCACCAGCATTGCCACCACCATCACTGGTCCACCACCTTTACCACTTTCAACACCAGCTCAGTCACCACTACTACTACCACCACTCCTCCATGTCCAACACTTATCTCCACCACCAACACCACTTCTACCCACATCATCACCACCACTTCCAAAACCACCACCACTGATATCTCCATAACTATTACCACTGCAGCCTCCGCCTCTATCATCTTCAACTCTGCCACCATGGCCAACACCACCAACGACACTACTACCAACATCACTTTTATCATCACCTCCACCTCCATCACTTCCACCATAACCAAACAAGAATAACAACAACTATCACAGTTGTCGAATGCTTATTTCTTCACAAGCACTACCTTAAACACTTCTTACTTAATCCTTAGAGTGTTTTATAAAGTAATGATTCTAAATTAGAGACTCAGATACTTGCCTGAGATTATAAAATAGGAATTAAAACAGGCAGTAATTCTAATTTCAAAACAAATCATTCTTGCAATATTTGCTTCTCCTTTAGACATATAGGCAATGGATTATAATAACTAAATCTGTGCAGCATATTAATAACTATGTATGGTTCACTGGAGGGAAAAATGTTTGGATTTGATAAAAATAAAAATTGCAGTAATGGTTGGATGCACGGAGGGAAGTACACACATCTTAGCTGTAGAGATACTAAAGTGAAATTTGAGGAAGAAAGTCAATATGGAGCTATACAATTTAGGAGGCATTCACTTAGAGGCCAGACTTGAATCAGTGAGATGAGACAGTTCAGATAAGGAAGTCAGAAGGGTAACAAGATAGGTTTATGGGATACTCCCAGAGGAATTAAGCAGAAGGATTAAAGCAGGTCAGGTAAAGAGAGATAGAAGGAGAACTGGTAACTGGCATGTCATAGAAGCTGAAAGAAGACATGATTTTAAAAAGAACAGCATTCCATAGATAGTCAAGGATATAGTGTTCATGTTTAAAATGCAGCATGAATAGAGTAGTCACATTTAAATTTTAGCTGTTCTCATATGAGACAAGAGAAGGACATACTGGCCACTACAAAGCTTTCATTCACATTTGCATGATGCCTTCATGAGCACTGCATCCTATTCAATCAGGTTCCATCCTGTAAACAATTCTCAATCACTAAATTTAATTATCTACTCATGTTTGCTCTTTTACTTTCTAAGTTCAAAGAGTCTAAATTCATTAATCTAAGAGTGTCCATATACTTATACTGTTCAGATCCAGATGTTTCCGAGAGTGAAAGTTAGAGCTTCCATAATTATGCTCAGAAAACAGGTATAACCTGGAATGGCTTCAGGCAAACCAAGACAGAAGGTCACTCAAGTCATAGATGAATAGAGATACATTTTACTCCAAATTCATGTTCTGTAACCAGAATGCCTGAGATAAAATTCTTGCTCAGGCACTCTGTAGCTACCTGTGTGTCATAGTAATAACAGCAATACCTACCTTGAATGGTTATGGACATGAATACATAAACTATGCAGATAAAGTCTTTAATCTAGTTTTCAGAACATAATAAAATACTCAATATGTGTTAGCTTTTATTTAAGCGATCTATTTTTATGTTCCTGTTTTGATATCTCATTCCAAGCACTAACAAAAACTGCTGAGAGCATATGATACAAATGGAATTTCAGAGACAACATCTTTCACCAGTAGCTACTGTTGTCTATAAATGAAAAAGAAGTCAATACACATTTATCTAAGCAAAAGCATTCTCCAAACAGGAGCAAAGAATAAGCTTTTGATGACACTGATTGAGGAGAACCAACTTGCTCTGGTAATTTGTGTATTAGATGGGACCTCAAAGCATTATGAGGGTGAGGTAACTCGATTTCTAAATACTCTGTTGGGAGAACTGTTGGAGAACTATTACATTTTTGCAACTAATCACAGATTCCTATGAGCACCAAGCTTCTTCTGTAGAACCATATTTAACATGACTATAAAGAAATGAATATATGTGCTATTAGGATGTTTAAAAAGTAAATTCATTAAGAGTCTTACTGATTTATTTTTGCCAGTAGATGTTTTCTCCATCAATGAATGTTAAAATTTCAACTACAATCATGAGGAGTCCTTGAAAGTTTTCGTCCCAAAGAGAAGTTCGACAAGTTTGAGAATGGTTTGACTTTGGTGGCGTAGTGCCTAAGGCATTTGACTGCTAACCAGAAGGCTGGCAGTTCAAACCCACCAGCCACTCCTCGGAAGGAAGGTTGGGCAATCTATTTCTGTAGGGACACCGCCTCGGAAACCCAAGGAGGAGTCACCATGAGTCAGATCCGACTCAATAGCAGTGAGTTTGGTTTTGGTTTGGTTTGACTAGAGAAGGGGTCCAAAATTTTTTCAGTGAAGGACCAGATGCTAAAAATGTTATGCTTTGTGGCACATAAAGTCTCTGTCACAACCACTCTGCTGTTGTGTTGTAAAAGCAGCCATCAATAATATGTAATGCAGCTGTGTGACTGTGTTCCAATAAAACCTTATGGATGGAAACTGAAATTTGAATTTCATATCATTTTTATGTCATAAATATTATACTTCCTTTGATTTTTTTCAAGCTTTGAGAAATGCAAAAGACAAGCCATCCACACAAAACCTAGGAGTAGGCTGGATTTGGCTTGTAGGCCATAGTTTGCCAACCTCTTGAATAGAGAATTCATTCAGACAAGCAGTCCCTCCCTAGAAGAAAAGGTCCAGTTATTTGCTTTGAAATTATCAAATTAGATTACAAGCCACAAATTAACAGAAAAGTATGAAATTCCAAATAATGTATTTGGATAATTTTTCTAGAGTTTTTTTCCTTTTTCTAGAACAGCTAACATCCTGTTTTTAGACATATATTCTTCTTCCCATACTTCTAGACCCAAATTCTACTGTCAAGTGTTCCATGCGTTCCTAAACATATGCGGCTTAGAAACTTGAGGCAGATTTTAAGGTTATTATTTAATCTTGGAATTATAACAATTGGAATGAAAAGGAAATTATACCATTTTTATGGTTTTCATGCTAGCTTTGCACTTATTCCTTTCATTTTCATATACCCATTGATTTCCATAATACCTAAGTACAATGCCGAGTTCAGACTATCCACAAAAAGATCAGTTAAAAATTCTAACACCTTCGAGATAAGACTTTATAAATATCAAAGAACAGGAAATCTGTTCTGTAATTACTCTTGATTTAGGATGCACAGATTGAGACATTATGTTCTCATAAACTAGCAGAATGGATCTCATCTATTATAGGTGTACTTCTTCTTCATGAAAATTTACTTTCCTTTACCGGAAGAAGGACATTTAATGCAAAATAAAGCACTGAACAAGCAAGCCCCTTATAAGAAGAAGAAGGGAAAAAATATTCTTTCAGTATTAAAAAGAATCCATGGAAGTTTCACCTGTGGTTTCTTTCAATCCAGAAAACAGTCCTTACACTGAGTATCCAACTTGTGTTAGGATAGTGATTCCTTGGGCACATTTTAAAATTCACTTCATAATTTTTTTCCCACTAAATTAACTGACACTACAGGCATCCAAGGCTCCTGGAAATACTGTTTAAGTAAAAACACTGCCACCAAAACAGCTGTGAATTTTTCCTCAACAATTTTTTTCATCTGAATTTTGGGATACAGCCATGAGTAAAATAGTCTCACCTTTTTCTAATTTCAGAATCCACAATAATCTGCCTCTTCTTTTGGGGAGGTGGTGGTGGAAGTTCCTCTTGGGCATGCTTTACCAGGATTTGTTCCCTCGTGGTCACCATAGTTACCGTTTCCATTACAGTTGTCTGTGTTAGTGATGGCTGAGTGGTGGTGACAGCCTGTGAAATCTGCGAGAAGTATTGAAACAGAGGTCACATATTGCTCGAAAGACTTTAGTAAAGGCTACTTGGAATGGTGATGGAAAATAATGAGAAATTGTTTCTGCTTGTTGGTAGATTGACCTTCAGATCAAAATAGCACCATATTGAACCCAAATCAAATTGTTTTATCTGACTTAAGTTATGTTGACCGAAATAGCAAAGGAAAGTGATCTCAAAACGAGAAATAAACTTAGTGCCTCTTCAATTTATTGGGCAAACTACAGAAAATAAAGAGAGCAAAGGAGAAAACACTTAGGGTGCCATTCTGATATTTAACTAGAAATGTTGTTTCAAGTTTCTACAACATTAGTGTGAATTTATGGAAAGTATCCCAGCACTGATTCTGTGGCCTGGCACACTGTAGATGTTCATTAACAGTTTGTTGAACACATTTTTAATTACCATGGTCAGTGATTATTGCCACCTTTATACATTTTTCAATAAAATTATTTCATCATTATCACAAAGACCTTTTTTACCAAATAAGTTGAATGTCATAAAAGTACAGTAAAAGATTAACATGAAGAACCTAGTGTCCAAAAATAATTTCCAACTGAATGTTACATAAAAAAGCAGGACACTACCCTTGTTTGAATTAAAATTTTGAGTATATTAAGATACCTGAGTTTCCAGCATACTACACAAAACATTGCTCCACCTCCTACATTGGTGAGTAGTGACTGGGATTTTAAAAGTTTGGAAGCAGCCATCTAGATGTAACGATGGGTCTCTCCTCATCCAGAGCAAAGAAGAATGAAGAAAACCAAAGATTCATGGAAACAACCAGTCCTAGCAACTGATACACCATGTGTTCCTCAGCCTATACTACTATGAGACCAGAAAAACTAGATGGTGCCAGGCTACCACTGTCAACCACTCAGAGGAGAATCTATGTAGGAGATCCTGGATAGAGAGGGAGAACAATGGTGAACAAAACTCAAAATCATTTGGAAAAAAAAAAGGGGGGGCGACCAGGTTTGCTAGTCTGATAGAGCCTGGTGGAACCACTGAGACTATGGCCCCTAGCTGCCCTTCAGGTCTGGAATTGAACTCACACCTGTGGCTTCCAGCCAAGCAAAAGACAGGCATGTGAGTTGAATGCTGAGGTAGATGCAAACCTTGGAGAGAACAATCATGGGAGAAAGAAGGGCTGTTTATGCACAGGGAGACAGCTCAGGGGGCGGGAGTACATGGAGGGATGGACACAGAAGAGGTAACTATGGGGAGGAAGTGTGAGGGGAGCTGTTGCATTGGGTTAAATTGTGGTCAATGCCATGAGACAAAGTGTACGTGAACTGCTGTATGGAAAGTGAATTTGCTCTGTAAACTTTCACCAAAATCGCCAAAAAAAAAGGATATCTGAGCTTCCAAAGATGTTACCAGAAATTCTTTGTGATTTAGAATCACACTTGCTTTCTGTTCAGACTTTTCAATTTTTGGAGGTGTAAGACATCACTCTTTTGAATACTATGTTTTGTGAACCAAATCATCATCTTGGTGCACAAGTTTTAATAGAGACAAGTGCTAGAATGGTGAAGCACCTACTTTCCTTCCTCAACCACCAATTCTCTGTCTCACTGAAGTGCTGCTCATTGGGATTGCAAAGTTATTTTCTGGGATATCAATCATTAGCCTGATAGTGGCCCAGCTTATTTGGAAATTTTATTTTCCAAAGAAAACAAAACAGCAACAACAACAGAAGTCTGAATTCCACAGAGCCCGTGATCTAGCTGGAACCAAGATTAGTTTTACTGGTCTTGTCTAACTTCTCAAGAGGTATAGAGGAGTTTGGGGTATCCTCCCTGCCCACCTGTGATGACTGCTTCCTTCAAAGGGAAGACATGGGGTGGGGAACACCAGCACCTTCTCATTTATCATCCAAATAGGGGATTAACATTGAAGGAATGAAATCCTTTGCCATGATTTCTACATACAAATTGCTTTTGACATGTACATTTAAAATGTGCCATTCTTTGTACAGAATAGTTTTTTATAAATGTTGATGCCTGAGAGACCTACATTTTTGAAGTCTAACTCATACTGAGTTCCTACATGTGCCAAGCACAAGACTTGTCTTTTCTAAGATCTCTATAAGAGTCATTATTCAAAATCAATCATTGAGCCTCAGACAAATGTATTGACATTGACCATTGACAAGTTATGCAAAAATGAAAATAGAAAGCAACATAGCTTTTAAAAGCATCTTACATATAGCAGACAACCTGATTGTACCCAGCACAAAATGGCCACTGCATGCTCAAATTAAGTTCACTTTGGGAGCTCTGGTAGCACAGTGGCTAAGACACTTGTCTGCTAGCCAGACGTCTGGCGGTTCAAACCCACCAGCCACTCCTCGGAAGAAAGGTTGGGCAATCCTACTTCCGTAGTGATACTGCCTCGGAAACCCAAGGAGGGGTCGCTATGAGTCGGGATTGACTCAACGGCACATAACAACAACAACAACAACAACAACAACCTAGTCAAATAGAAAAAACATCGTTTTCTGCAGGACTCCAAAAGCATTTAACTTTTCAAAAATTTTTAAAACCATGCATAAACTTCGTTGTATATGATGCTAAGTAGAGAATATTGGTAAATTAGGAAAATATCTAAGTGTATATGCATAGAACCAGAATGCAGAGCTGCATGAAAATGCAATGCTATTTGTCACAGTTATATTTGATTGTGCAGAACAATTGTGCTTCTGAATATTTGGCTGTGAAACTGAAATTTTAATACCATGTTCTCACAAGTACCAACTGTGAAATTAGATATATGTGCCATAGGAGGATAGAGGAAAATGAAAACAAGTTATACTATGCAATTGCTTTTAAGAATATAGCAAACCTTAAAAACAAAACAAAAGTCATTTTAAATAAAACAGTAGTAACACATGAATATCTAATTGTTCTATACTATAACCACTATTACACTGTAATTGAAAATACTATTGCATTTCCTTTGGGATAGAGAAATAAGAAAACAGTGGTGCCTTAACCCTGTAAATATAGGGTATATTTGTTATACATAACAAATTGATGATTGCTTTCAAGACCTACTTCATATAATCAGAATTAAAAACAATTGGTCATTACTAAATTTCCTAAGGACTTTTAGTTTTTGACTATAAACACTTAAAGGAGCTCTAGTGGTGCAGTGCCTAAGGCATTTGACTGCTAACTAGGTCAGTGGTTTAAACCCACCATCCACTCCATGGAAGGAAGATGGGACAACCTACTTCCACAAAGATTTACTGCCTTGGAAACCCAATGTGGGTTGTTATGAGTCAGAATGGACTTGATGGCAGTGGGTTTGGTTTTCTTTGGTAAACATTTAACTATGTGTTTGAATCATTAACATTATAGACAGGAGAGGGCTTATGGAAGTTATTTAGCATAACCTCCCACTTACTGTACAATTTCTTACTCACAGAAGCAGACAATGTCTTCTTTATAATGGTATCAAATTTTCTCCCCTTTGCAAAGATATTTATACCTAGTGGAAGCATGTCTTATTATGACTTCCTTCAGTTAAAATCTGTTTTGAACCTTGAATCTTCACAAAGTTGAGGATCATTTGTAGTTGACTATTTAAAGATCTGCAGCAAGACAATCATGACCCTGATAAATCTCATTCCAAGCTCTACAATTTCACTTATTTCCTATAACGAGATTTCATCAGACCACTGTCCAAAAACCAGGGTTTCCTACTTTGGACAGTATATTTCAATTAAAGGAATCTAAAATTGCTTAAGATGTTCAGCAGCTAAACCACAATGTTTCAATTAAATCCCAACATTTATTGACTCAGTATTCACTACAGAGCATTCAGAAATAAGCAAAATCTCCAACTTCAGGAATATTATAGTATAGTATGGGACATGACAGCCATAAAGAATATAAGTGAGATAAGGTGAGTGATATATATGACTATATGACTGTTGTATACCAGTAAGCAAGTTAAACAAAACCAGTAAAACTAATCTTGGCCCCAGCCAGCTCAATGTCTCTGTAGAAGTCAGGTGTTTGCTTGTTTGTTTGTTATCTTTCCTTTGAAAAATAAATTTTTTCAAGTTAGATCTTTACAAGGCTAATGATTAATATTCCAAAATAAGTACATACACTGGACATATGGTAGTCAAGGAAGTTTCACTTGAACTTCCACAAAAAACAGATTGCCCTCTGTTAGCAGTTCAGCAATTAAATTTATTTTGATGTTGAAAGTTGGATATAACATTTATCCCTATTCATAGGATCATTTATAACAATAAAATATTGAAAACAACCTAATACCAGTGGCTAATTTGTTAAATGAATCATGGAATATGCATATATAGAGTATTGTACATGTATACATTTTTTAAGCTATAGGAAATGCTGCCATTGTGTTATTGAGTAAAAATGCAAGATATCAACATTACTGGTGTTTGTTTCTCAGCTAAGAAATTATAGATAATTTCTATTGTATGGTATGTATTTTCTTTTTTTCCCCCTCTATTCCAAATTTCTACAATAAAATATTTTCTGCATGGGATCAAATTGACATGAACAACTCAAAAAATTAGATAGGAAACCTAAGGAACAGTGAGTTTATGTTAATGGGGAAGGAACAACTCAGAAAAGAAGGGTAACAGTGGTTACACAACTCAGAATATAACCAATGTCCCTGAATTGTACATGTAGAAACTGTTGAAGTCTTCTGCTGTGTATATTCTCAAAGATAATAAGAATATTTAAAAATGCAAGGCAATTTCTAATAATTGAAAAGAAACAGAAATAAATGAATTTGACTATTAAAAAAATTTTTGCGAAGTACTACTTTTGGAAAAAGATTTCAATGCATTTTTCCCAAAATTGTTGTTTTAAGTTTATCATTCCAATATATGAAGATCTTTTGAATTATGATTTTGTCATTCAAATGTATTAGTGTTAGGACAACTCCAAATCTGAGAATAACTTACTACCTTC